AATGGTGGTACTGCGGAGAGCAGTGGTGTTGGCACCAGCAGCAATGGTACAGGCTGCATTGGAAGCAGCCCTTGCTTGGAGCTAAGCTCAGCTAAAGTGGCCTGCTGCTGCAAAATGTTGCAACCCCTGGCCCAAAGTGAAAATCCTAGAATGAAATCCTAGTTTTCCAGTGGAGATGGTCATTGCTTCTTGGCTTCCCTAGTCAGAGGCTCTCTGTGCCCCACTTACCTGGTTTGAAAAAACAGCATTTCACCTGCATCCCAGTGTGGCCATGAGAGGGCTAAAGATGGAGCCCAGAAGAACAGCTCTGTGTCATCCACAATTTTTTTTAAACAACTGTTTTGGAATTCATAAAATCAAAGGAAGTTGAAGTGGAAGGCAAAGTTATCAGTCATTTCGCAAGGGGGCAAAATTGTTCTATCCACAACCCGCTCTGACAAAAGTACCCAGAGCCAATGTGACCAATGAGTCTAGTAACTTCTGAACATCAGAGTGGAGAGTTGTTGGGGTCTGAGGGAAACTATCATCCATGTAGATATGTGGCAGCTTGGTCTGGTCACAGCAGCCAGAGGCAGCACTCTTTCATGGTTAGGGTCTGCGGCTTGTGTTTAAAAACCCTGGCTGTGCTACGGATTCGCAGAGAATAGAAGATGAGTCTCATAACAGTGCAGAGGAGAGCCACGCACATGATCAGAGGGCAGGAGAACAGGCCTTATGATGAGAGGCTGAGAGCCAGGGGACTCTTCAGCCTGGAAAAGTGCAGGCTCAGGGGGGACCTGGTAGCTGCCTATAAGTATATAAGGGGTGTACATCAGGATCTGGGGGAACACCTGTCCACCAGAGCGCCCCAAGGGATGACAAGGTCCAACGGTCACAAACTCCTCCAAGACCATTTCAGGCTGGACATAAGGAAGAACTTCTTTACTGTCCGAGCCCCCAAGGCCTGGAACAGACTGCCTCCAGGGGTGGTGCAAGCACATACTCTGGACTCCTTTAAGAGACATTTGGACTTCTATCTTGCTGGGATCCTGTGACCCCAGCTGGTTTCCTGCCCCTGGGGCAGGGCCTGAACTCGATCTTCTGAGGTCCCTTCTAGCCCTAATGTCTATGAAGTCTATGAAATAACCTGAAACGGTCAAGTATCTGTTGGGTGTGAGATGCCTCAGGCCTGGTTTTCAGATCCCCCGCCCCTTTTGCCTTCACCTGGATGCAGGTTCTCAGTCTCCAAAATTTACCCTAACTGCATCTCAGGTTGTGTGATCGGGTGGATGCGTATGAAAGACATAAGCTTGCCTCTCTTGCTGTTTTGGTCTATTTATGGCAACAATCTTGTCCTGCCTTCTGGAAAGGGTTTGGAGAGCCTTTGCTCAGTTGCTCTGGGAAAGCAAAGTACTCTGCCCTGACAGGAATCGTCCTTCTGTAGTGTCTCAGTGACCTGGACTTATCTAAAATGAATTGGGTACCGTGTTCTTGAGAATAATCCTGACCCCTGACTCAGGGCTCTTTGGGCACCAATTATCTGGTTATGCTAGAGTGGGTGAAGGTGGTCCATGGCACCAAGCCCACCACAGTGCAGTCTCTCTCGCTCGGCATAGCAGTCTCATGGCTTCCAGTCCCTTTCACTGCCTCGGGATGATGTCTTTCTTCTTGTCTTAGGAGTGGCAGCAGGGTCCCTGATGTGAGCAACAGGACTTGGGGTCTGCTCTCTCTCCCTGTGATGTGCTGGCATCTTGTGTGGTTGAGCAGCTGAGATCAGAAACCAGTTATTGAATTCTGTTTATTTCCAAAGCAACAAATCTTTCTTTAATGTTCAAGCTTTCTTTTCAGGAAATCAGTTGTAGCCTGTAGTAGGCCCAGAGGTTGTGGTAGAGGGTTTTTCTGTGTATTTGTGTACACGTGATTGGAAATCCTGTGATGAAATTGCTAAGTCCGACTCTGCACAGGTATACAGGGTTGGTAACATCTCACTTCCAGTATATCACTTGGGCCCTTGGGCCGTTTTTACACATGCAAGTGCCACAGTGCCAGGCGTTTTGAAAAGCGGCTGGCACTGTGACACTTGCAGTTGTATAAGTGGCCAAAAGTGTGTCAGCGCTGAGAAAATGGTGGCAACGCACTTTTGAACTAAAACACATTGGATGTGCTTTAGTTCAAAAGTGCACTGCCGCCATTTTCTGCATGCTGATGCACATTTCACTGCTTATACAACTGCAAATGGTGCAGCGCAGTTTGTCTCAGCTCACATGCAGAGCAGACTCGATTAATCAAGTCTGCTCAGAAGCGGCAGATCTCTGGCACATTGTGGGACAGAAAAGTACATGTATAAATGCCCTTTGTGTCTGTGCTGTATGGAGTTCCATGTGTGTCTTGGGGTGAAGTTATGTTACACTTAGACCATACTAAGGGCACTTAAAATGCAAGCATCTGAAGGTGAAAGTTTATTAACTTGTGCTAAGTACCCTCTGAGAGTCTCAAAATTATGCCACTTTAGGTGAGGGTTAACTGGACTGTGCTACCTAGCTTGTGGTAGGATAACTTCTGTCTGCTCCACGGAGGTAAAATGAGTGATTTGCAGCCCTCTAGCACCCCAGGATGCACCAGTCCCAGCCCCCTTCCCCCAAGAGCAGGGATAAAGTCCAGGTGTCCTGGCTCCTAGCCACACTCCTGCTCATAAGCCTTTTGCAAGTCAGAGCTGTGTAGGCGACAAAGGTATTGACCCTTAATGTGTGACTGCTCACAGGGCATTCTCATTTTAACACTTTAACATTCCACAGATTATGGTCCAAGTGTAACATGTTACTTCCTCCTTGGTAGACATGAGGCAAAGTTAGATCCTGAGCTTTGCAGAAGCCTGTTTGCATGTGTTAGTAAATGATAGCTATTTTCCTTCTGAAGGAAGGTCAGTGATTCAGTGTATCTTAGTACCTGGGATGGCTTGGTTTTCCTCTCTAGTTTGCTGAGACTCTGATGCACATTCAGAAGCTCTTTGGCTGGCTTTCTTTTCCTCATTTCTTTCCTGTTCTTGTTCTCTAGGAGATTGCCCCTGGCCAGCTGAGCCTTGAGGAGCTTCTAGAAATGACTGATGACCAGGTCTGTGCAACAGTGGAGAAGTTTGGGGCCAACAGTGAGGAGTGTGCACGGCTGAATGCCTCCCTCTCCTGCCTTAGGAGTGTCCACAAATCAGGTAAGGAAGGGCTGTGCAGAGCTGGATGCTTCTGGGAGCAGTGGGCCAAGCCCCCATCTGAGGAATTCTCTGGCCCACTGTGGTAGCCCTAAGTATCCCTGCTGCTTCTCCCCTTCAGTCTTGCAACCTGCATCAGCCCCACCATTTGATTGGTAACCTGAGGGTATCCAGTTGAATAGTGGGGTTAATACCTGGTTGCAGCTGAGTCGGTGTTAATCCTGAGCTGACTGAAGGGGGCCAGGCATGCTCCCCAAACAACCTTTGCCAGGGTAGAAACTGCCAGTGGTTTCAACAGGTGTGGCAGCACTTGTGTCATTGGTGGTCCCTTTGGTTAGTTGTCTCAGCCAAGCATTGTGTAAAAATGTGGGAAGCTGCATGGGGAATGTAATCCCCCCCAAGAGTGTTTCTCTCAAACTCATCCTACATGCTATCAGAGGATTTCCTCTGCTTCTTCTCGCACCTGTCCTGGGGGATTCTTCCCTGGGATGGCTGGGCTTTGGAGAGCAAGCCTTGGCTGTAGGCTTCTACAGTTGAGAGTTAAAATTTGTAGGCATGGAGCTGTGTAGAGGAAGCTCACATTGTGTGCATCTGAGTTGCAGATAAGCAGAGATTGCTGATGTCTAGAGCTTTCTGTCT